CTAACTTATCTGAGGTCACCCAGCTAGTGAGAGGCCTCGAAGAGGTTCGATCCCAGCTCTGTGTGACTTCAGCTCTCAGGCTCCTGCCAGCACGCTGTGCCTCATCTTTTGAGGAACGAGTCTGAAATCCCCTCTCCTCATCCCCCTCGCTGAGTGATCAAGCTGCCCTCTCTCTCAGCCTCCCAGTTTCCCAGCTGAAGCGGCCTGAATTCCTAGCAGCAGCCCTGAGTTCTCTTGGTCACTTCTCTGGATCCACTCTAGCTCCGCGATGAATCAAAGGGGCAGCAGCTCGCCCTGTCTGGGCTGCGATAACCATCAGCCATTCCTGAAGCTTCCCAGGTGGCTCCAGCCGCTATTCAAGGAGGGGATGAGGAGGAGGCCCAGGCTGCAGGAGGTGCTGGGAGGAGCCGGGAAGAGGAGTGGGGAGACTCCCAGGAGAAGAGAGACCAGCAAGTGCTAGTTTCACCTGCACCTGATGGGACCAGGAGCCTAAAATGCCATCCCCACGCCCCCTGCGCACACTTGTCCTCACACCGGAAGAGCCAGACTGCTGGCTGCTGACCATCAACGTCCCTTACAGTCCTTCCCAGTCCACAGAGCGCTTCGCCATTCAGCGGTTTACTGGGTCTTCCTACAGCCATAGTGCTGGGGGTGGGGAGGCTGTATAGAATAGAGGCTTTCGAGTTGGAATCGGGTCTGGTCCTGGCTCTGCCATTATCTTCATCTCTCTTTTACAGATGAGATTTAGAGGGCACTAAATTCAGATTCCACAGGCTGCCAGCAGTGGAGCTAGATTGAGACCCCAGGCTTCCTGATGTTTAGGAGGAGGTACGGGAGAAGAGCGTGTACAGGGCTCTGGTTAGGTGCTGTCAAGTTCTGCTCAGGGGTCTGCTGGTTTCTGTTCTCATGGTCTGGTGGTTTTCCTTCAGTTTCCTAGTAAAAGATCTTTTTGGAAAAATACCTCCCTTGTTGGCTGAACTTCAGGGGAAAGGACTCATCTGCTCATCTGTACCTTGGTCCAGGCTAGGTATTCTAGAGCCAGGTGTGGGAGCATCCCAGAGGGAGCTCACACTGGGTTGTCAATCCCTTCCTGCTGTGGGCAGGATACTGACTGCCTATCTGGCAGGCTTGGAACTGGACCTAAAGTCTGCCAAACCTGCCAGGGCAGGAGGTTTTGGTCAGGGCTGCTGTTTCCAGCTGTGGCTTTGTCAGCCCTAGCAGTGTGACTCCAGCCTTCCTCAGCCTCTGCCCTAGAGAGGGCTGTCTGGAGTAATGTATAGGTCCCCTGCAAAGTGACAGAGTTGAGCTTAGCCCAGCCAGAGACAGATAATGCTGCTTTGTGGGGTGGAGGTGGGCTCAAGGCTCTGAGGCCCTTTGGCCCAGGAAACATCAAAGGTAGGTGTAGGCCAGCAGTGGACTGAGGGAAAATAGGTGTGTGCGACTGAGGAGGGCCCAGGTGACATACACATACTTGGCACCATAGGCAAGTCTCTGCTGTGAGCCTTGGTCTCCTTATCTGTAAAGGGGGGATAGCTACATCATAACACCTGTCTGTCGGCTGTTTTATCCAACAGGAAATAGTCATGCTCCGTTATTTGCCTGTGACCATGATGTAGGAGAACGCTGGCAGGTGGTATGTAGTGCAGGCCTGACCCCACAGTTGGTAGGTGCTCGGTAAATGGCAGTGATGTGGCATATTGCCGAGCAGCAGTTTCCTGAGGGGCCTGACCCATTCAGGGAGGCCACGCCACTTTTCCCAGTAGAAGCTTCAAGGTGGCTGTAGTTCCTGACGTTGCCGCAAAGTCCATAGGTATCCGGGTAGGTGAGGAACCACACTGAGGGTAGAGGGTTTGGCTCATCAAGGAGATGCTCCTGGTTGAGGGCTGACGAAGGTGGAATTGGGATGGAATCAGGAAGCGGGGGTGCAGGAGTAGGGTTGTGTCTGGAGCCTGGGCTCCCCAGTGGTGGCCGTGTCGTCCCGAGGAGCCACTTCCTGGGCCAGGGGCCAGTCTGTGCCGAAGTTTGTTCTGACTCCCTCCTGCCTCTCTTGGTGCCATCTCCCCCATTTATCAATCTCTGGGCCTCGGTTTGTTTCTTCTCCTGGGTTCCCCCTTTGCCTGCTCAGTTGTGGGGTCCTACCCCACAGCCTTTGCAAGTCTGGGGCAGGTGGTTGCTGATGGGACTAGAGTCTGGCCCTGCTCCAAGGTCATACATGGTCTGTTCCCTCGCTAGACTGTGAGCCCCTTGAGGGCAGGGTCTGAATGACCTCCAGGCTCTCATGTTCAGCACGGAGCCTGTAATCCTTGGGTCCTGACCAGAGGGCCCAGCCCCTCCTGGCCGTGATGGTCGGGCTGGCCGAAGCAGCACAAGCCTGAGCTGGCCCTTCTCCCTCACAGGTGGCGTGGGAGGGGTGGGGGTCGGTGCTGAATCAGAGTACATGGCTCCTTGTGTCCGGCTTCCTCTTCCTGGCTGGCCCAAGGCTTGGGAACAGTGGCTGCCTTTCTGGGGCAGCCAGGGCGCCTGGCCAGAGTTTGCTCTGTCGGGCATGGTCAGCTCTTCAGCAAGCCTCGGTCCTCCTCTTAACCTAGAGAAGGCCCCGGGTTATTGGTGTTGTTCTTGGCGGACCACCGGGCCCCTCAGCAAACAGGGAGGCGAGTGTGCACCCGGCCTGGGCCTGTTTGTGTTGGCCTCGCCAGGCGGGGGATTAGCTCAGCTGGGCTGCTAATTGCCTCCGAAGTGCCGGCCGGGATGCTGACAAGGGCTGGGCCTCTAGGCCCCTCCTTCCCAGCAGGCACTGTGCCAGGCTAGGGGCCCTGGCCCAGAAGGGCCCCTTCTCTCCCCTGTCAGCGCCTGCTTGGCCTAGACCCTTGAGATGCGGGCAGGGGGTCACTAGGGCTGGCGGCTCAGGAAGGAGTGGGGGTAGATGCCTATGAAGTCATCGCCTGGGCCAGGCCAGGCCACACTCTCCCCCTCCCCCACACCCCTTAGACATCCCCTCACACCCCCCTTCTCCTGAAGCTCAGCACTTTCTCCTCTTACTAGGAAGCTGCTGGGCTCCTCTGCCCAGATGCCCTCCGGGTCCTCAGTGCCTTTCTCTCTGTCTTCCTGTGTCTGTCCTCCCACCCTCTGCTTTCTCCTCGCTCTGTTCCTCAGCCTATCTTAGCTCCTCTCAGTTGCCTGGATCCTAAACTTCGTTTTACACCCTCCGTGTGTTCTGGCCCTTCCTTGGCCCAAGCTCCACCTGAAACCTTGCCTCTGGTCTCCCCAGACTTCCCTCGGACCACTGGCAGTCAGGAAGGGGCTGAGAAGGTCTACTTCATCACGTTTTCACACCCTGCCGAGACCTCAGGCCTGCGCTGAGGGAGCTGTCGAGGGTGGATCTGGACACAGCCTCTCTGTGAGCGTGAGCTGACCCACCCAGCCTAGGAGTCCTGAAAGCCTTCCATCGTCACAGGCAGAGCCCCTGGGCCCCACTGCACACGCTTCCTCCAGCTGACACTCCCAGCTCCACTCCTGACTGGCTCCCTGTCCTCGCTCTGCTGCTTGCCCACGTTGGACCAGGTGCAGTGTCTCCTGCTGCTCCTTAGGGACAGCTTTGTCAGTGCCTTGTTGGCTGCTGCCTGGGTATTTCGACCCCTGGGATTCTCTGTCTGTCTCCTGCCTGGGGATCTCTGCCCCGAGACATCTGCCTGCTTTTCATCTCTGGGATGAGGCCAGAGGAGGACCCCGGTCTTGGGGTACCTACCTGCCTGCAGCCCCTAACCTATCCCACACTGTCTCTGCTTTCTTCCTTGTTCTATCTGCCTTTCTGGCCCCCTCAGTCAATCTTTCAACTACTTGAACTGCATCCAAGACTCCTGAAAAGGGAATAATACCAATATTTATAATAATAGCTGCCATTTGTTGAGCTTTATGTTTGTTATATTTAACATCCCCCAAGAAATAGGTTCTATTATTATTTAGCCCCATTTGAAGTTGGGGCGAGAGGAGCAGCACCATATTATGAATGAAGAAAAGGAGTCCCAGAGAGGGACAGTGAGTTGTCCAAGGTTCCACATAGTGAAGGGATTCCAGCCCAGGTCTGTCTGATTGCAAAGCCTGGGTCCTTTTCGCAATTCTAGGAAAAAGGTTGGAAATGGACACCTTCACCTCTTCATTCCGCCATCTTGGACTCCATTACCAGTCTTTTCTCTGCCTTTGATCCTGATTTGAGGATGAGGTGTCCTTTTCTATCCGCCCATAGTCTAGACCCCACCCCCTCCTGCGATTCCCCTCCCCAGTCCTTCAAATCCGTGTGTACACCTGCTGTCCTGAAAGCACCTTGCATCAGCCCTTTTATATCCCACTAAACTTTTGGAAGGCCCGGCGCATAGCAGCCTGTGTCCAGGCTGGTGTGGATTTGCTGCAGTGGGGGAGGAGGATGGGGAGATACGCCATGGCCCCCTTGGGGAGGATGAGGACTTTAGCCCACTAGACTGAGGTTCCAGAGAAGCCACCTTGGATCTCCCCATCTGATGGGACTTGACTTATATGGAGTGTTCCATCCAGACACCTCATTCTGACGGGGCTTCAATCCTGGAGTTTACTTCGAGCCACAGGCCTTGAATTCCTCTGTCCTTGGGCACCAGGTTCTTTTCCGGTTGTCTCCTACCTCCTCAGTTGTCACCTACCTCTTCAGACCCTCCTCTGTCATTGTATTTGTCCCTCCTCTCCACCTCAACCCTCAAGAAGGGTTCTGAGGCCTTGGCTCAGGCCAAGGTTCACATAGCTGATGACGGCTCAGTGAAATGCAGATGTGACCTCTGTGTTAAAGGTGAATTCCAGACAGCGTGCTGGACAGGTGGGTCCTTTCCTCGCGGCCATCAGGCCAGTTGTTCAGAAGGAAAGCGGGCAAAGAAAGTCCCTATAGCTAGTGTTTGCTACTATTTTCTGCGTTTCTCACATCCTTCCTCAAGTCTCTCTTCTCCCTCTTCTACAAAGCACTCACTGCCACAATTGCAAGATAAAGAAATAATCGTTTTATTGTGCATCAGACTATTTCATGGGGATGTCACAACGGCAAGGAGCCTAGTATAAAAATTGGAGGATGGAGTGAGGCAGCAGAGGGGGCAGCAGCATCTAGAGCTGGGGCCTATCCAGCCCGAGGCCTCGGAGGACATCGCCTTTGCCTGTGGCAAGACCAGTGGAGAAGGTTTGGGGCAGGACTCGGACCCTCCGGCCAGCGTCCAGAGTGGGTGGGCTAAGTCGGGCCTGTACTGGTTCTTCCTCTTTCTTTGGGACAGTGTGGAGGAGGACGTGTTCAAGGAAGCTCTGTTTTCCTGCGGCTGTGGATCCCTTGGCCTTTGGGGTGCTGGTGGTGGTGGTGGTAGGGCTGGGCAGAGGTTTCTAGAATCTGATCTGCTTCAGCGAGGTTATACCCTTGAGAACCCCAGGAGGATCAGCTTTGAGGAGCCCCCTGGCAGGCGGAAAGGCGAAGCCTATGAACGAGCATGTCTTACTGAGGGCCGTGTCCTTAACACCAGCATCCAGCCTGGATCTACTGTTCCCTTGGCTCTGGAGACAGGACTTGAGGGTGGGGGAGAGTGGCTCAGCCCTGTCTCTGGAGGCAGAGGGGTCTCCACTGCTTCCTTCGTCTGGGTCTGGCCTCTGCCAGTGAGGGATCGTACTTCCGTTGGCGCTGAGCGGACAGCTGAGCAGAGCCCGCCAGAGGAGCAGTGAGCCCAGCTGGGCAGCTGCAGGGACACTCAGTCGGCTCAGCTTTCATCCACATCGGAGCCTGCCTGCCCCAAGATTATCCCCACAGTCGAATGTGGCTCCCGCATCTCACTTGGTTTTGGCCTTCTTGGGTGGACATTGAGCAGAGAGCTTGGCTGGAGGCCAAGGGTGTTGACCTTCTCTTCGCGAGGGAGCCAACACCAGGAGGCACCGCAAGGCGAGGAGAGCTGCTCTAGGCCGGCGCCTGGATTCGGAATCTGGGACTTTGAATTCAGACGCTGAGCCCTGGAGCTAAGAGCTCGGGGTCTGAGAACCTCCAGTGGAGATCCCAGAGCTCAAGACCTCAAACCAGGAGGCCTAGACCTCCAGTGTGGGGGCAGCCTGGAGACTGGGCTGACAGCAAGCTCCTCCCGGGGCTGGGAGCCCACCCTAGAAGCACTTGGGTCAGGCCAGACCTTGCTGTGTGCTTGTCCGGCTCACAGAAGTTTAGGCTGGACTCCCGACAGTCTGGCTGGTACGCAGGGCCAGGCCCGAGGTGCTGGTGCTGACTCCAGCACCCACGGGACCCGGGGGCAGGGGTGCCTCAGCTGCTGAGACCTCTCTTCATCAGCCTTCCAGCTGTCCACCTTGTCCCTCAGAGCTGCTCTGCCCTCAGGAACCACGTGGGCTCCAGCCCAGCCTGCAGTCTGTGCCTCCGGCTGCCTCACGGCCCCTCTCCTTCTAGCCAGAGCCCCCTCCCCAAGGCTCAGACCCAAGGAGACCTGCAGTTTCTGGGCCTTTGGGTGCAGGAGCCCAGGAGGAGCCTTGGCTGGAGGGTTCCTGTGGTGGTTGTGCCCCTGCATCTAGCTCGCTCTGGGACCCGGCTGGCGTGGCCCTCTCTGCTGTAAAATGGGCACAAAAGCATCACTGTCTTGTCCATTACCCAGTGAGATGGCCCCACACAGGGCCTAGAACATAGTATTTGCTCAATAAATTTGGTTGTGTGAAGTAACGGTTGGGAGAGGGCTTTCTCACAGAGCCCTTTCCTCGGGGCGGTGTGTGTGTGTGTGTGTGTGTGTGTGTGTGTGTGTGTGTGTGAGTGAGAGATCCATTCTTAGTTTCAGGAGCAGCACTGAGGAGGAGACTCCCACGGGGCCTCACTGCAGAGGCCCAGCTGCGATCTCTGATCCAGGATGACAGCCTATACTCCTGCCCAGGAGGGAGCAGGGTGGGGGGTTTCCCTCTATGAGCGGGTGGCCAGGCAGGCTGGGCTCTGGGCTGGAACTATAGCCTTCTCTTGCCTTCATCTCACCTGCTCTTCCTGCCTGGAGGGTCCCACAGAAATCGAACCTCCAGCTGCTCATGGAGGGCCGACATTCACCCTTTGCCCTTGACCTGGTGTCTGCCCATTCCCTTCTCGGGGGCGGCTTGAGAAGACAAGGCTACTGGGCTGAAGCTGCCACAGGTTCGTGTGTATGTGTGGGGGTGCAGCTTCCATCAAAACGGCAGCGATTCTCCCCCACCCCTTTCTCTCGATGGCAGGGTCAGTAGGCGTGGTGCTGTAACACTCCTGTTACCCACTTGAAGTCTACAAGTAGAAAAACGGATATAGATAGCAACTGAGTGGTCAGCAGCAGCCACACGTGGACAGCCAGAAGCACGAGCAAAGTCCCTTTGGTCAGTGGCAGCCACGAAGGCCCAGGCTTCAGCGAGGCCCCAGTTGGTGCCTTGGGGGGGGGGGTCACCTGCCTGGTTTCAGTAATAAATAACGTGAGGACCCAAAAACCAAACCAAAACAAAAAATATAACCAGTATCTTTTGGGGTAGGTGGTGGGGGACTGTTTAAATTATCGGCCTTCCCCGGGCCACTGGGTGGTTGCTGGGCGCAGGCAGGGCGGCAGTCACCGGCACGTGTGCAGCTCCACCAGCCGCTGGCACTGCCGGCACTTGACGAAGCAGCACCAGTGGAATTTGCAGCTGCAGCGCTCAGCCAGCTCCACCTGTGCCGTGTGGAAGCCGCGGCCGCAGCACAGCAGCTCACAGCCGTCGATGGCCTTGGACGTCTTGTTGCACGTGCGGCCCCTCGTGCCCAGCACGCCGCTGCGCATGTCCTGCTCGCAGAAGTCCGGGCTGGGCTCTAAGTACACCAGGTCCTCATCTGTGTGCGGCTTGAACTGCGCATTGCGCGGCACCAGCGCCCTGGAGGAGCCCACACGGCGCGGCTCCACCTCGGTGGCGCCATCAAACTTCTCCTTCAGCGCGTGGCCCACCTGGCGGAAGGGCGGCACGGCTCGCCAGCATGTCTTTACCTCGCAGGAGCCTGACACCCCGTGGCACTTGCACTCCACCCGCATGTGTGTCAGGATGGCCTGCAGGGGACAGGGAACAACAGATATCAGGGGAGGCTGGGGAGGGGCCGCTGGGGGGGCAGGCAGCGGGGGCGTGGGTGGTGTTGGGGGAGCCACAGACTCAGAGAAGTAGGTACTACTGTGCTTCCTCTGTATTGAGCACCTGCTGTATATCGTGGTAGGCGGGTAAGCTGTGTTGGGGACGGTTGAAGATGTCCCTGCCCTGGGGGCACTTGCAGTTGATGGTGGAGAGACATTTTAAAGGGCAGGATCGTATGAAACGGGGAGTGACATGTGGCATGATGGGGAAGAACGCGGCTGCATTGAATGTGCACAGCAGCCTTGAAGAGCAGGTGTTAGAAGTCAGGTGGTTTCCTAGTTAAGCACATGATCTTTGTGGTGACACATGGAGAAGGGTTCAAATGCTGGCTCTGCTACTTATTAGGGGTATGTGTGAGACAAACGGATGGAGACACATGTACATCAATATGCGTGGGCGAGGTGGTGGTGGGGCTTTTGCGTGCTGTGCGGGGGTGGGGCACTCACACTTCTGTGACACCCGCTCTCATCGACTGCTTTATCCTGCTGCCCTGTACCCCACTGGCTGACAGGTGCCTGGTGCTGGTGAGAGCCTGGACCCTATTTTCCGAGTAGCGTGTGGATGAGAGAGTGTTCGAGGGCCCTTGCTGAGCCCGCCCCTGCCCTGGTGGTAGTGGTGGCAGAAGTGCCACGTTACCTTCCTGCCGGCCTCGTTGTTGTGAAGGTTCATGAGAGCCCGGCTGGATGAGGCCCCCTTGCTTCTCTCCCGCACGTCCACGAACGACTGTGAGAAGGCCACGCCGTAGGCGATGTTGTCCGAGCATCCTGACCACTGGAAACCTGGGGCGCGGTGAACAGAGGGGGCCACGGGTGAGCAAGGGCCAGGCCTCTGCCCTTCCACTCCCACCTCCCACCTCCTGCACTTACCCTGTGGGCTGACCCCATGTACTGTCCGGTCACAGCCACACTTTTCTAGCTCCCCACTGCTGCACGCTCGTGTCACCGCAAAGGCCACACCTGCTGAAGAGATGGCGTACACGAAGGCCGCCTCCCGAGTCCCTGTGGGAGGCAGAGGGAGGGCAGGGCTGGGTCCCAGCGCTCATCCCCAACCCTCCTTTTCAGAGGGGGAGGGCTATGTGGGACCTGGATGATGGAGGACCATGGAGAGAGCAGGGCAAGCGAACTCCTGTGGGCCAGGAGTGACACCGTGCTGGCGCTTGTTGTCACCACATGGAGGCTAAAGACACTTCCCACATGCCAGCCACTGCTCTAGTCTGTACATGTGCTGAGTATTTCATTCTGACAGCGCCCGTGACGTCAGTACTGTTATCCCCATTCTACAGAGAGGCTACTCTACTTGTCCCTGGTCACAGAGCACGTGGCTGAGCAGGCTGGCAGTCCAGCTTCAGCGCTCTCAGCTACTGTTGGGGACTGTTCTCACAACCCCTCCCCGGGGGTTAGCGATATTCACGCCATCTTTAGGAGACAGGCTCCGAGAGGTGAATTGACTTCCCAAGGCGTCCTAGCGGTGAAGTGGCAGGGCTGGACTGCCAGCCCAGGTCTGGCTTTCTCTCAACACCAGTGTTTTCTGTGTGTCCATTCCCCAGCTAGCCCCCCTGGGCTCTGAGGGGTCCCCTACGTTAGGATCCTGCCCCAGCCCTTCCTGCTTATTTCCTTGTCCCTTTTTAGAGTAAATCATAATCACAATGGCCCCTACTGTTTACCACAACCATTGCTGAGGAGGGCATGCCCTCTGCCACCGGGAGCCTTGACCTGTGCCCATTTCACAGATGCCGTGGTACAGGTTTGGGGAGGGGAAGTGATTTGGTCCTAGTCCGCCAGCTAGGAAATGATAGAGCCAGGACTCCAACACAGGTCTGTCGGTCTCTGCCTGTTCTTTCCCTTCTTCCATGGCTGCTCAGTGGTTCTATTTTGGTGCCTGCCCTCGTCCCCTTCCTGAATGGGTGTTTTTATCCTCCTAGGAACTGTGCCTCAGGGGGTGTAGCTTCTGTGGAGCCTCTTTCTGGGGGTGTGGGTCCGGGGAGTGAGGTTAGTGTGTGTGTGTGTGTGTGTGTGTGTGTGTGGTGCATGTGTGCATGGCTGGCTGGGAGTGTGACCAGACAGGCCCTGCTCCTCTCCTGGGCCCTGTGAGGGCCTCTGTGTGCCCGTGACTGTCCTTCTGTCTCTTGCTGGAGTGTCGGTGTCCGCAGGAGTGGAGGGGGCAGGTTTTGGCCCCGTGGTTGGCAATTACCTCTGCGACACCCAGGCCTGTGCTCTCGGCTGCCCTGGGGAGCAGTCTCCGTGGTCAGACAGAAACAATCACCTCCTCTGTGCCCGTGTCTGTGGACAGGCAGCAGAAAAAGCTGAGCTCTGGGGTGGGGGCAGCCCAGGCCCCTGATGGCTCAGGACGCCCTGTTCTGGGTTCGGCCCTGGAGCTGGGGATACTGCCCACCACCCACTCTCCGCTGCCCACCATTTGCCCTGGCCTGGCCACTCTGGGCCAGTTTCAGGGGGCTTGGCTGGGGCCACGGGGGCCTCGACAGCCTGAGATGGAATCTTCTCCAAGTTAATCGAGGTTAATAGCAGGATCATGTTGGTTGGTTTTGTGCTGTGGCCGCCCAAAGAGAGACGACTTTAGTTTCTGGTATTTCTGGTATTTCCAGGCCTGAACCAGCACAATTCTTTGCCCCAAAGACCAAGGGGGAAGGGAAAACGGGAGATAGGGCCATGGGCCCCAGCTCTTGGCCTGGCATGGTCCTTTCTTCCCTGCTTCTCCAGGCTATCAGGCAGCCCTGGCCCACCCCAAGCTCTGGCCTCACCTCCCCCTCGAGTGCTTGTGGCTCTGGGGTGCAGGCTGTCCTGCGAGGTTGCTCAGGGAGACCCCTGACTCCAGGTCCCCCTTGCCCTGGCCTCAGGAATAAGGATGCTTTGGTTTTCTCAGCTTGGGACTGGGCCTGAAGAAAGGAATATAATAATAAAAAGAACTATAGCTTATAGAGCACTTACTCTGTGCTGGTTACTGTCTAAGCGCTTTACATCATTTATATACTCTTCACAACAACCCTGTGAAGTAGAGACTTTTAGTCATTTTACAGATGAGGAAACTGAGGCACTGAGTGGTGAAGCACCTTGGCCCACAATCCCCAGCCGGGAAGTGGGACAACCAAAATTTGAACTCAGGCAGCCGGGCTCCAGAGCTTTCGTCCTTGACATCATCCTGCCTCACGGAGCCCAGGGCCCCCGGGAATATACCTGCAGACCATCTGTTCCCATCAAGTGTGTGAAGCCAAGAAGGACTTCCTTAGGTCTATCCTAAATCTCACGTGCTGTTGGAGAAGCCCATTTCCTTTAGTGGGTCCTTTACTAGGGGATGGTGAGTAGCTGGCCTCTGCACTCAGCACAGGAGGCCCCAGAAGGCCTGGAGAATATGGCCAAGCCACCGTGCCCCTAAAGCTGATAGCAGTGGCTCTTCCAGCCATTTCTAACTGGCTCTGGGTCGCAGCCCTTTGACTCCAGTGCTGTGGCCCCTCCAGGCTCCTCCTCGCTGCCTTGGTGCCCAGGCTGGAGCCGTGCTCACTAGTGTGGTACCTGGCAGAGACTGCTGAGACAGAAAAAGGATTGTGCGCCTGTGAGTGTAGCAGAAGGGAGTTCCCCAGCGACATGGTAGATAACTGCTCCCTGGTCAGGGGTTTGCCTGCTCCAGCTGCAGGAGGAAGACAGTCCTGGCTTTGTTTTCCTGGGACAGCAAAGCCGGCTGAGAGTAAGGCAGGACTCTCTCTAAGGTGCCAGCAACCTTCTGCCTTTTCCATAAAGCCGCCTGCCCATCCCACACCCAACTCCTTTCTTCCTGCTTTTTCTCCTTCTCAGGGCACCTCCTTCCCCAGCTCCACTGGTCTCGCTCCTGTGTGTCCTCTGAGTCCCGCCTCAATGCCATCTTTTCCAGGTGCTAAGGCTGCCTGGGGCTGGGCATTCAGTGCTGTCCTGTGGGTCCAGCAATAGCCCCCCTTTCTGAGAATGCTGGGGCTCCTGCATAGGCCGCCTGAGGCTCATGACAACCTCAGCAACCAGCTCTCTCCAGCTCTGCTCTATGGAGGAAAAAGCGAGGCTCAGTGGCTCATCTGGGGTCCCTCAGCCAGTCCGTGGCTAAGAGGGATCTGGAACAAGGCCTGTCTGACTCAAGGCCTATGCGCTTCTGAGCACATCACGTGCGAAGTGTCTCCCAGATGCTGGAAGGAAGGACATTCGAGCAGGAAGGAGTGTTTGGAGGAGAACCAGCTGAGGCTGAGTTGGGCTGAAAAGGAAGCCAATGGGCATGGTGATCCTCTGGGCACCAGGCGGGTGTCCCGGTGGAAGTGCCATTCCCAGCATAACTCACATGTTTCCAAAGCAGACTCAGCGGGAGTCCTAAGGAGGTGGGGGCAGAACAGGCACTGGTCTCTGAGAAAGACATTATTCCCCATCCTCTCCCCATCCCTGCTCCCAGCCTGCCTTTCCAGTGTCCTTTGCACTCTTATTTGCAAAAGCTCACCTTTTCTTGAAACCACCTCCAGGAAGCCTCTTTGGATTTAAGAGATGGTGTAGGATAGGACAGAGGGAAGGAGAGTAAAGGCTTTGGAGCTGGACAAAGCCGTGTCAATTAGGCATGACCTTCTTCTCTGAGCTTCAATTTCCCAACTCAAACATGGGGAAAATCCGGCTGCCCCAGTGGGCCAGACCCCAGCACTTTTGCATCCCCCGCACTCCCCCTGAAGGATTTGCTTTCACTGGCCTGCCTGCCCCTCACAGTCAGAATCAGGCCGTAGACTGTTTTATCTTCTAAGTGTCTTGTGTGTTCCACCGGCCTCTGCAGTCAGACTGGAAGCACCTGAGGCCAGGCTGTCCCTCATAATTCTCTTCTGGCCCCCAGGACCCAGCACAGAGCAGGCCTCTCACAGCTACTTGGAGATGGGTGGATGTTGAGAAAGAGTGCGATGCTCACCAGGCAGGCCTGAGATCTGCCACTTCCTAGATGTGTGATTTCAGCCTCCTTGTCCATGGAATGGGGCTGGCAATAGTACTGACCTCATTAGGTGGTTCTGGAAATCTAATGAGGTCAAATATGGAACGTGCTCAGTCTAGTCCCTGGCCACACAGTAGGCAACAGAAACATAGTAGCTATTGTGAGTTATTGCACGGTGATTAATGCCATTTTATCCATTTGCTAACAAATACCCGTCCAGTGCGCTGACCATGTCTTTACCATTTGGACTAAAAGCATCCTTTGGGCAGAGACTCTTTCTCCCTTTTGCTGCCTCACCAAATGTTTATTGATCACCTGCTGTGAGCTAGGCCATATGCTAACGCCCTAGGGATACCCAGGGAGTTTGTCCTCAAGGAACTCTCAGTGGCAGAGTGTCTCTGGGATAACTCCCCCCCCTGCCCCCCCATAAGTTATCTGATGGTACAAAACGCAGGCCTAAGAGGTCCTCAGAAGGAAGGCATGGTCTCACCCTCATTGGGTCTAATGTGATGCCAATATTGAGGACAAAGATGAGAAAACAGGTTTTAGTGAGTCATTTACTTCTTAAATCCAGCCCCATGTTACAGTCAGTAAGGTGTCCTAGGAGATGTCCGACGTGCGGGGAGTGGAGCTGGGCCCAGCTTTGAAGCCTCACTTTGCTACGGCCAGTGCACCAGATCCCCCCCGACAGTGGCAGACGGAGCCTGCAGGGGCCTTAGGGCTCATGGAGGTCCCTTTCTCAGGACAGGAACTTGATCAAGGTCACGGAGCGAGATGCAGAGAGGCAGGGGGAGGCCCGGTGTTGTCCATGGATGGAGGGAAACAGAACTGAGAGGGGTCTGCACTACCTTTGCTGCCTCTCTCGTCCTGCTCAGGCCAGCCCCTTCTGAGGCCTGGGTGCTTCCTGCTCACGGCCACCTCTGACCCTTGCCAGACTCTATGGCCTCTCCCTCCCATCCTCAAACCCTGTTCATTCATTCAACAAAAATTTATCCGTGCCCTACTACGTGCAGGTGCTACTCTAGACATTAGGATCAAGCAGTGACTAAAATGCAGAGGC